TATCGAAGGCCTACCGCAACCGACCTTTACCTCTCTTCAAGAACCATTTGAATACCCCCATCAGCTCATCCCCATTGACAAGGCCGACCCCACCAAGGTGATCGGCAACGGATACACTGCCCAGCTATCACCTACCATATCAACCGTCTTCGTTTACGACATCCGTCCTGAGTTCGCCGGCAAGACCTGTACTTTGGCTCTACACATGCCCCCGCCCTTTCCCATCTCCGAAACAGCACCTGTTCAAATTCGCACCCCGGGCGGTATCAGCGTATCTCGCCTCGCCAACCAAGTTTCCGACACTGTTTCCATGCAGAGTGTCGGCAACTCTAGTCTCCTCGGTGTTGTACAATCCATCGAGCCTGCTCATCAATACAACGTCGCTAGCTTTCCCTGCGAGTCTGGTCAACGGGTTAGTTACCAGGTGGACTCGATCAACGGGCTGGATATGAATTGGTTCCAGATGACGTACCCTGCTCTCGGGCTGTTTATGCTGGTTAGCTGAATCGGATGAAGGGTGTCGGGAGTGGTGGCAACGTGGAAGACTGGGATGTCAACTGTATTATTACGCACCTAAGAGTCCTAGATCCTTTTAATGTAATGTTTGCACCAAGGATACGTATCTTGTTTATGTCGTCGTGTGATGTGTTACTAAACTGTATCGTATTTAACGCATTGGTTAAGTACGATACAGTTTAGTAGCATATCACAAGGAGATATGGGCATGAGCGGAAACGGGTGTTTTGCTGCTATACAACTGTTGTGCGTATTGTCTACAAAGTCGCGTGGCTGGGTCAGAGTCGGGTCCGAGGTGGTGAGGTGAGATGTGGCTGACCGTGAGATATCACCGTGAGATATCACCGTGAGATATAACCCTGAGATGTGGCTGAAGGTGAGATGTGAGATATGAGACGTGGCTAACTATGAGATATAAGATGTGAGATGTGGCGAACCGTGAGATATGAGATGCGAGACGTGGCTGAAGGTGAGATATGAGATGTAAGATGTTGCCAAAGGTGCGACAAGACGTGAAACATAACCTCTAAGATATAGCTAACTGCGATCTTCTTGTACTAAACCAAAGTCACTCGCGACAAGATTACTTGGGCTCGAGCACGAGAGGCAGAAAAAGATAGCTACCTGCGAGATAAGATACGATATAACCTATAAGACGTACCTAGCCGAAAGAATAGATTGCGCCTTTGACTCAGACTGCTGTCTAATCTTATTCGGGCTAGTTATTAAGATTGTACTTTGGTACACGGTATAATCGCGGTAGCTTTGATGAAGTGGTAGCTCACCGTGAGATATGAGATATGAGATATGAGATCTGTGACGTGGCGCACCGTGAGATGAGGCGCACCGTGAGATGAGGCGCACCGTGAGATGTGGCGCACCGTGAGATGAGGCGCACCGTGAGATGTGGCGCACCGTGAGATGAAATATGAGATCTGAGATCTGAGATGATTGTATTGTCTACTCAATGACATGAAGCTTATAGTACTTCTTCACGGATTGAATTCACGAGAAAGTAGGCCCTCTGCTTACCTGCGCAGACGAGCGGCTTGGGCGATGGTTTCGGGCTTAGCAGCCTGGAAACGAGCTACGACGATGAGATATGGTTGACGGTGAGATATGGTCGACCGTGAGATATGGCTGAGCGTGAGATATGGCTGAGCGTGAGATATGGCTGAGCGTGAGATGTGGCTGAGCGTGATATGAGATATGAGATATGAGATATGAGATGAGATGATAAGCTTTGCCCGACCGCAAGGTACTTAGGTAGAGTTTGGTCTAGTAAGAGAAAAGTCCTGACGTCTTGAACCTCGCACTCGAATTACACGAGCTCAAGTTGACTATACAGAAGCTATTCACATTCGATTTAACTTGATATCTTCAAAAGCATTCCAAAGCTAGCTACGTGCGAACCGGCGTGATGTTCTAGCAAGATGTCTTACCCCCAGACACACTGCACGCAGCGCCACCCTTGCATACCTATCCATCATCATCAGCATACTGCTCGCACCCGGTATAGTACAAGAGAAGCGAAACTTACGTTCTTGCACGCATACCACGTTTTACCATCTGCGCAGCACCCTGTCTTGGATGGACAGTATCCCCATTGGTTGTTGGGGTCGCTGCCTTCGGCTAGTTGGGCGTGGTTTGTGGTGAAGTGTTCGTCGTGGTCGAAACATTGCTGTGGGGTGGGGATGTCAATTGGGGTGTCGGAGATGCTTTAGGTGAATGAAGAGGATGCGGATTCGACTAGGACGGGGACGTAGTCTTGGGTTGGGCTGGTTGGGACGATTGGTAGGTACTTACCCAGGCGGAGACGGAGGCCGTGGCCGTGAAGAGGAGGATGAGCGCGGAGATCTGCATGGTGATGTTGAAGGTATGGTAGGATTGGATATTGATGGTTTTGGAGATGTTCAGGTGATGGGTGGCGCTGGGAATAAAGCAGACGCGCTCTTCTTATCAACGTCCAACGAGTCAATATTAGCCATGTCTCCCTCCTACCGCTTGCTTCTAGGCCTGATGTAAATGAATAGATTGCAATCAGATCATCAGAAGACGTGCGCGAACACCAGACGACACGAGGTTGCGGCTCTTTGGATGCAAGTGTTCGGGCCGGACCCCTGTTTTGAACCAACCTCCGCTTGTTTGACGACAGCGCAGAAACGAAACAAGCTCTTGTCTTCTCCACACTTGGCATCGCTGCGAAAGCTTCTCTCTGTACTCGGCTGTGTTGATAGCGCATTCGCATTCGCATTGCTGATGCATGGCCAGCCGCTCACCAAACGCCTTCACCAAAACACCACCTCACCGCCGTTTCCCACGCTTCGACCGTCACTCCATCGCGACCAACATTCTGTCCGCGCAATATAAAACCTCGGAGCTTCATCCAATGGCAGTTCGTAGACATCTCGACAGATCGCTGCAAGCGAGATAGCCTAGACTGCACACAGTAGGTACGGCGTAATGCGCGGTTCAGCTCGTCGCGTGGTTCGGCGTTATGCGCGGTGCGGCGCAATGCACGGAGCACTCATTTCACGACGTGTGTATCTGCATGAGCTGCAATTCCACCAGTTGGAATGTCTTGAGGTTGTACTTGCAGAGAAGTCGTAGCTGGGGGGATAGCGAAGAGATGGCACGACCTGATGAACGAAAGAGATGCATCATCAGCGTAAGAGGTGCGCTGCAGTCCCTATTGGTGTAGAATTGGAAATTCAACAAAACTGGAAGGCGAGGTAGGCTTCCAAGTTGTTTGCTTCTCATTCCGATTTACTTGAATGGGGTGCGACCAGAATAGAGAGGTAATGGAGCTGGTACAAATCTAACACAGCTCATTATTGGTTGTACCGGACATGTCCGTGTAAATCTTATAAGGAGCAGTACGATGCTCGTTCAAGGTCGTTCAAGGTCGCAGACGAGACGATATCCAAGAATCTCGAGCCGAAGAGCAGAGTTGCTACCGTAGGAGATGCTATCAATGATGCACCAACTAGATCGGCACAGTCTTGGCCCTCATATCAAGTTCCGGGTTGACCATGCTGACTAGCACGTGAGGTAGCTCATCGTCCAGTGCTGTCCTCCACCTCGTCATCACTTGTACTTCCAGTTCGTCGATTCTTGACCGCCCCTGTAACTTTCGGTATGCTTACGCTGGTATGATCAATGTGATTGACGTGATGTTTCGTCAAGATGTCCCTGGTCCTCTCCAAATGCCACTGGATCGGTCGGATAGATCCAGGGGTTTTTGAAGCTGCTTTGACAGCGTATTGTAAAGCGGTGCAACCATATTTGTCTTCTGCACTTGCGTTGATACCGACGACCTCAACGAGAAATTCTAAGGATTCCTGGGTTAGAGAGCCATTCATAGCCGCACAATGTAGTATGGTTCTCTCATCCCAGTCCTTTCTCGCCAGGTCAACACCGTACTCGTTTAGAACTTCCAGTATGGGAACTCCAAAATGGAGTCTTTCTGCACATATGTGTCCTAGGCTTTGTCCTTCAAAGCCGACAAAAGAGCTGGTTTCTTTCATACGAAGAAGCGATGTGCAGATCTCGATGTCGAGTGTCCATATGGAGCTTTGGATGTATCGCACCAGAGGCGAAATTCCAAAATGATCGAGCTCAGATGCATTCGCACCCAAATTCAGTAGCCACTGCACCGTCTTGACTTCTGTAGCCTGCGTTGTCGATTCCATAGACAAGAGATGATGGAGCACATTACCCCCATTCTCGTTCTTCAAGGTTACCAGTGTGGTCGGCTTAGCCTGTTCGCTTTCACGAAGGGCAAGCAGGATTTCGTGATTCCTGAATCGAGCAGCGTAATGAAGTGTGTTGATATGTTTTTCGCTCGTCGGGCGCACGTTTACACCCATACTGAGTAGAGTTCTGACTGATTCGATATCTTGGGCCTGAATAGCAAGGTGTAGTGGGTTCTGTTGTTTCGAATTGACCAAGTGTGGGTCGGCTCCTCTGGATATGAGCCTTTGAATCAATATCGCGCTTCTCGGCCTCCCATAGGCAACGCAGTGTAGAGAGCTTTCGCCATTAATATCTGCTGCCGTGAGGGAAGTCACAGGATCTGCCAATAATGCATCGACTGTCCGCTCACGCGCCTGAGCATCCCCTGGGATGATCGTCTCCCAGGTATCTCCAAACACTATGCCGCCCCCGAAAATCGTCGCACGTAGTGCAAGATGTAGAGGAGTTTCACCATACTCGGTACGAGCGTCAGAGTCGGCGCCCTGATCCAGAAGAAACTTGGCCATCTTCTCCTGGCATTTCAAAGTAGCAAAATGTAGGGGAGTTAGACCGACTGCGGTGGATGCCGAAACTGCAAACACATTGTTTACTTGGCTATCTCGTAACTCGCCAACTCTGCTGGGCCACGCCTGCTGACGAACTTTCGAGTCAATTGGTACTCCCGCGTCGATGAGCTGCTTCGCGATGACTTCGTGCCCAAGCTTTACAGAAAAAATAATGTAAAGGAGTCATGTTTTCAACGTCGATAGCGTCCAATGGAACGCTGTACTGTTGCAATAACCTGACGAGTGAAGGTGTACACTCTGGATTGTCGATAGCACCCCTTCTAAGTAACACTTCCGCTGTCGTTTCTTGTGATGATCTGGCTGCACCGTGTAGCGCACTACCCCACTCTGCATGCTGGGCATCAATATCGGCGCCTGCGTCGAGTAGCAGCTCAACAAGTGCTGTATGGCCACCTTCTGCAGCAGCTAGTAGTGCATGACCGGAGTATTTGCTACCAGGAGCGTTCACATCTGCGCCCACCTTTATCAACAGCCTGACCACCTCCTCGTCGCCGTTGCTTGAAGCGATTTGTAGTGCACTGCGACCATTTCTGTCTCGCGTATTGGCGTTGGCGCTAGCATCAACCAGTAGCTTGACTACTGCTTTGTGATGTCCATGTAATGCTATTGTGAGTGCATCGTCGCCTTCTTGATCCCGAACGCTGACATTCGCTTTTGCATCTATGAGCATCGTGACCAGAACCTCGTTGCCCATTTCTGAAGCATCCTGTATTGCATAGCGGCCTACCACTAGCTTGTTGACGTCGGCGCCTGCATCGATCAGGAGCTTGGCCATCGCCTCGTCGTCGTTGCATATAGCTTCATATAATGCAGTTTCCCCAGCTCCATCCTCAGCGTCGACGTCGGCCTTCGCATTGACTAGTAGTTCAGCTACTGCCAAGTGGCCTTCGCTTATGGCCGCCCGTAGCGCGCTACCGTAGAGTCCACCTTTCGCGTTGACATCGACGTTTTGGTCCAGGAGCAGTTTCGTAATCGTTTTTAGGCCCAACCATGATGCAAAGTAAAGGGGTGTTACTATTGGATAATCGTCCGATCGTTCGTCGTACGTTTCTTTCGTATCCGGTTGGAAAATTCGGATCGAGTTGGTAAATGCGGGATCGTTCGTAAACAAGATCTTCATCGCCAGCCGACTCATTTCTTCCTCCCCGTCTCCTGTCTTCTGAACATGATGGCTCCAGAATTGTGCGGAGTAGTCTGCGAGCGCTGAAGCGTAGTAGATCTCATAAGTCAATGGTTCCTGGAACTGGTTTAGATACCACAGACAGCCTATCGTCATTGCTTTGTGACATTCGATCTCTTTCATGCTGTACTGCTTTGCCGGACCTTGCCTTATTCGTTCTGAGATGAGGTACTCTTGGACCGAGTAGTGTGCAAGCATGACGATCTGCTCCCCTTGCTGCGGGTGCCACCTTCGCTCTTCTCTTACAATAGTGACTAGACTGGAGCAAATTTTCAACGCTTCCAGAGGATCCACTAACACTTCATCGCGATTGAACGCTGGCTCGCGCGCAACATCGATGGCAGCAACTTCGGCAACTTCTTCAAGAGAAAGCGGTCTGGCGGAAAACGTGAGCCATTGGAGAATCCGTATTGTGTAGACGCGGTCCTCTTCGCTGATGGCTGTGAGAATTCGGTCGTATGTCTGGTCTAGCGTTTTCGGCAGGGTCGCAAGCGATCTCCGTAACATCACTAGATTGCGACATTCTGCTATCATGTCAAGCTGACATGTGACCCATCGGAACCTACACCATCGTCAGGCTTGGCTCTATCAAAACCGAGGTGATATACGTACATCCCTTGAGCCCCGCGCATGAGTGCTGTCTCGATCTCTTGCCGGACTTCATCGTCCCTGTTCCACTTTTCCAGCTGCCTATCGTCGCGTAGCTTTTGTTGAACGAATCGTAATATGTCTTCATCCACTACGTCTCTTTGAAGACTAATCATGTTGTCTTCCACCACGAACGTCTCCAATGACGTTTCGATGTCCCGCTCTTTCCGGCTTGTCATGAGCAGATGCACGCTGTCAAGCCGCAACCCGGCTACTGCGATAAGTAAGTCCATCAGCTCCGGGCGTTGTGCACATTCATCTAGCGCATCAAGGACTATGTAGACATGCGTGAATTGTCCGATCACCTGCGGTGCCACAGTTAGAAGTTTATGCAGCGGTGGTTGTTGCTGTCCGTCTCCGCAGGACGAGAATAACGCGTCGACGGCGTCGGGTATCGTTATCGTATGCTGCAAGAGCTGGCGTAGCAGCGAGCGGAGCATCAGCTCTGGAATCTGCTTCTGTGCATCGTTGAAGTCAAAGTAGAAGTACACCGTCACCTTACGTTTGTCGTTACCGCAGTGGTGCTGCAGATGCTCGACAACAGTAGAGCTCAAGATGGTCTTTCCACATCCTGGTATCCCATAGAGCCATAGCCGCGACGCTGCGTCGTCCTTCCAATTCCTGAAACTTTCATGCTCTTGTAGTAGCCATTGCCCAGTCCCAGGCTGCCGCTGGTTGTGCGCCTTTTGATAGTTGATGGATGGATCGGGCGCCGAGAGCCAGTTACGTATCTTGACAAGCCTCTCTCCTTCCTGGACCTCTTTCCTGAGTCGCTTCAACGCCATCTCTTTGCCTTCGCCGTAGATCAGTGGTAGATAACAACCGAGGATGCCTAGCAGACAGTATGCTCCGTCCTCTTCGCGTGTCGTCTCGCGATCTTTTGCCCAAGAGAAACGCTCTTCAACTCCAAACTTTGACATGTCGCTCCCCGACAAGGCTTCGAGAGGTATCTTGGTGACCTCATGTATAGTCTGTTTCAGCGACTGTTTGTCTCCCAACCGTGTTCTATCCCTAGAAAAGAATTCGACGGAGCGCGGAGCTAGAAGCTCTTGGAGCGTCCAGCCTCGAGTGAACCATCTGCTCGCTCTGAAGGCTGCCTTCCATGCCGAGGACGCTTTGCCTTCCTCCATTGAAGTCTTGCCATCGACGTCTGGAAGGAAAACATAGCACCTGCTCGAGTTCTGGTACCAGCGGAACATAGAGTTAATCGCCTCCGAAAGCTCTGTATGGTTTGCCCTATCGATGCAGCAAGTGTCCACCCAGAAATGCTCTAGACCATCCCGCTTTGCTCGTTGTGCACAGAACTGGATCTTGTTCCATGCATCTCTTTTCTCGGGATCAACAACCCCCATGATGTCACAGCTCTTGAGATCATTGAAGACAACCTCTGGCTCCTTCCAAGTATGCGAAAGGATCGCATAGGGAGGTATCTCTTCGACACGGATGATATCTTTGGTGAATTCGAGATGCCCGTCGCTCTTGATGTGCAGCAGCCGCATCGTATCATGTGTTTACTCCGTATGTGTGGGCGGCGGAAGGTAGCCTTGTGGCCTTGCAGTAAGTTGAAAGATCCGATGATGACGGCGCGTGCTCGTGCAGGGCATGAAGAGCGTAGTCAGTTACCAGGCTGATTGCGAGAGCTAGAAATGACCTGCTAGATTGGAGATAAAGAAGAATGGCTCGAGGAAGCGAATGTTTGTGTCAGGCTGCAGTGGCTGAAGCCTCAACATCCTCGGCGGAGAACACAGCCCGCCTGTACCACATCCACCGGGGCACTACCCAGGTGAGGCAGGCGGGGCAAGGCTGAGAAATCATCATCGAATGACAGCGACATAATGTAGCCTGGCAAACCGGACAGCGCAATATAGTGGTGCGGACAGTGCGATGCGCAAGCTGTTGTATACTAGAGAAGTATTCGCGCGTTCGTGCTGGGGGCTCTCGGAGACACCTGGGAAGGCACCAGGGAACCTGCCAAGACTCGTCACGTGTCAGCGAATCAACCCTGGAACTCTCCCGAAGTCAAATCAGCCCGGCACCTCTGACTCAACGACTCTATTCCATTGCAGACTCAGAAGCTCAGGGAATCATAGAGTTCCAAGACACATAATGAGATTAAGTAGATCAGGCCAAGTCAAGATGCTACAACACCAGCACATCTCATCTCACAAAAGAGTATGCCCAGAATTACCTTGACTACTGCGTCTATTCCAGCCAGACTGACCCTGGTCTTTATGCATCAAACCGTCCTTTCCCCCGATGCGACTCGTTAACATGAACAAGCTACTACGCGAACAGGTGGAAGGTAAACTACCAAGGCGCAACGTATCACTTCCTGCATAGGCACAGCCTACCCAGATGTGCCTGCCTAATAGCGACTGAACCAATCTCGAGCCTGCTTCAAAGGGCCATGCAGTCAAGCCGCCATGGAGAAAGCCTTCGAGTTTATGCAACGTTCAAGTATTGAACATGATGGAATTGGATAATGTCAATAAAAAACGACTATACTCTAGTCCCTACGCTCTCAAAACACCCAAACGCCCAAACCGCCCAACAAGAAAGGCTTATGATATACGTACAGTACGATACCAGCCCAAACAACACGTACAAGACATCCTACTCATCCTACCATACCACTGCCTACGCACCACCAGCCCTCCCCGTCGTAGTAGCACTACTAGGCTGATCATTATTCCAAGTCAAATACGTATGATCCCCCAACTTGCGCGGCTTGATTAAATGCGTAGCCAAAAAGACCGCTCCGAGCAGGATGCAAATACCGCCGACAACAAGGTATGCGATGCCCAGAAAGGGGTTTTTCCCGCCCATGACGGTGCGTGTGGAGATGAGGATGGATTTTGTGCCGCTGTATTTGTCGACGGGGTAGCCTGGGGGGTGTTAGTGAGATTTGTAGGAGGAGGAGATATGGGGGAAGAGGGACGAGGAGAACGTACGGTCATAAATCTTGAGACGGTAGGTACCAGCAGTCAAAACATCCTTGTCGTTACGCTGGTACAATTTACTGAACGTAGGCAGACCCGCAGTCCTCATCCAGACCTGGAATTGCTCCCAAGTATGCAGGTTAGGCAACTTGTCGCCGTAACGCCCATTCTCGTATTGTTCCTGCCAGTTCGGCGGTGGGATAACATCCTCAGGCTTGTACTTCGTCTCGCCGTACAGATCACCCTCGTGGCTCCACGAAGTTCCCTCAACAGTCATGGTGTAGTTCTGGCCCCCGGCATTCGTTCCACCGGCGGGGTTGGCGAGCGTCAACTGGCTGAACGTGTCGTTGAACATGGAGTTCGCGATGAGACCGCAGGGGTAGTACGGTTTGCCTGTCTCAGAGTCTACGTCCAGCGGGGAGCAGTCGCCCGAGCTGAGATCGCTGGCGCTGCGTGCATCGCCCTTGAGTTGTTGGATATCGACGGATTTGACGTAGCGACGGTGGTTCTGGTAGAAGTTCGTGAGGCGGTAGTAGAAAAGGATCGGCGGCTTGATGTCTTCCGGGATGTTGAAGCTGAGGATGCATACGTTTGTCTCTTGCACGACGCCGGACTCGAATGTGTAGTCCTCGCGGCCCCAACCCCACATCGCCTGGGGGTCTTCCTTGGATCTAAAGGTCGCGGACACTCTGCCGCCGGGAATCGATTCGAGCGGGTTTTCGGCGCTGGGGTCGAAGTTTACGGGGACTTCGGGCGCGGTCGAGTTGCAGTTTGTGTAGTCGATTGAGATCTCCTGGACCTGCGCGCTAGCATAGAGAAGCAGCCCGCCGATGGGGGCAAAGATAACTCCGACGATGAAGAAGAGAGGCAGAACGGTCTTCGGCGTTAAGATGGGCCTGTTGCGCGGTTAGTCGTGGGTATGTCCATCTACCGCCGTGATTCCACCTACTGCCATGCCTTCAAGCGCTGCTGCCTGAACGCAGTATCTAGTATCCCATCAGCATTGCCCTCCTTCGCGCATGTCCCATATCAGGCTTACTCGGCGGCCTCCTGCTCTTGGTCTTCTTCGGCTCGTCGCGGCTGGGGTCCTGGCTGCTGATGGAGTCGGTATGCTCGACCTGCTGGGTGCGCGACATGATGGCTGGTTCCGCGCGACTCGGCGGAGTCGATTGGTGGAGTGAAAGGTAGTCGTCGCGGGCGGGAGGAGTGGTGGGAACGCGCGGGTTTGAGGTCGGCCAAGCCGTTGTCCCAAATTAGTGACAGAGCAGCCGCGCCACGCCTGCACGCCTGTGGAGCTTACGCATCCCCGCCCGAGACCCTGAGCCTTTCACGGACGTATCACGGAATCGTCATTGCAGCAGCATCGCAGTACGCCATCCATTCATCAACGGATATTTAAATGGTCACGTAAAGGCATTTCGGAGAACATTCATGTTATGTGAGATAGTGCATTCTGGTCTAGTACTAAATATGATAGAAAGCCTGCATTTGCGGCGACAATGTCCACACGGGACTACAACATTCGTTGGTGGGAGCTGAGGGGTATCGCATGCCGTTAGATAAAAGAAAAGGAAAGTCGAGAAGCCCAAAAACGCCATGAGGGAGGACAGTATCCACTCCCGAACACCTGTTCATGCCAACAGTAGTACCCATAAAACCCATCGAAACGCCGTTCGTAATATCATGCGGAGGAGGACATCCATCACTCCATGTAAATCATACCAGTCTTATCCAAAGAAAGCGAGCCCAGTCGGGTGGGCCGCGAGATGCAAAGTGCAACTTGATGCATCGTAATCAAGAAGAGGAAAAAGAATGGGAAAGGCTATGCGATGCGGGCTCAGAGGTACTGGCGGAAGTAGTCCGGGTTGAACCAACCTACACGGTCATATGACTGCCACAGTTTGCTAGCCTTGTTGACGTCAATCTTGCACGCCTGCTGGGCATCCGTCTTGCGGAACTCTTTGCCAATCTTGAGAGCCTCGATGCGGGCCTGGAAGATGCGTCGCTTGCTGGTAAGGTAGGTGGCGCAGTTGAGGCGGAGTGTGCCAGCGAGGTTCAACTCAGCCTCGTGCAGCAGCTCGCGATCGGGATCGTCGGCGAGGGAGAGCGCTTGCCCTTTCCACTCAGCCTTGAGCGCCTTGGTATTGCCCTTGGGCAGTGTGTCCAGGGGTGGGGCGTAGTCGGGAATGGCAGTGTAGTCAGAGTCGTCGCGGTTGGTGACTGGCCGTGCCGGCTTGGGAGAGGCTGACTTTGTGGTGGGGGAGGTGTCGAATGAGTCGTGGATCTGAGTAAGAGGCGTGCGCTTAGCCTTGGGTGCAGCACGAGGGGCGCGAGCAGGCAGCCGTGGAACAGCAACCTTGGGCTGGCGGAGTTTTGAAGATGGCGCAGGGGCGAGCTTCTTCAAGGCTGGCCGCTTCTGCACACGGCCGCTACGGACCTCGTCGATTTGCTTGTCGAAGGCGCGTTCTTGAGCCCACCATGCCTTGGGGTTGTTGCAGGCCTCTCTGAAGACAATGGACCGGACTTTGGCAACCAATTCGTAGTCAGCGCGGCTCGGCTTGCTCTGGAGTTGTGCATAGTCTTGGGTCTTCATGTGCGCGGTGATGACATCTTGCGAGGCTGACTCGGGTGACTCGTCGGGGAACAGCGGCATGTGAGCAATTGGCGCCGCTGCATCAGCCGAGACGAACAGCTGGGGATCGCGTGTGCACTGCTCCTCCGAGCTCTCCATGTTCTCCTTCTGTGCCTGTGTGTCGTATGGGGAGATTGGTGGGGAGGCGTAGGCGATGCGGTGGGCGGCTGCTGCCTGGATAGCCATGAAGTCGGTCTTCACAGCAGACTGCGAGGGTGCTGAATTGAAGGAGGAGAAGGGTGATTGAGAGTAGGCAAGCGGAATTGACGTGCCAAACGACTCTGATCGCTTCATTTCAGGGGGCGAGAGGAGGGAGGAAACGGTGAGCCGATTGCTCGGGGGCGTCTTATAGTGCAAGTTTGCCATTGCGGTGTGGTGCGGTGCGAAAGTTTGTCCTTTGGTTAAAGCGCAGCGTCGGGGCGGTAGCGATATATGAATGTGTCCAGGCAGCCACTGGAGCGTGGTGCGTTGGTAATGCGATCAATGGTAGAGTATGAGTGGAGGGTAGGAGCCTTGGTTGAGCGAACGGCTTCGCCACAGTTATGCTGTCAGGTGTGCCCGGGCGCAAACGTGACCGTGGAAGCCGGCAGAATGGTCCGACCGACTGCTTATACCAGTTATGCGAGCGGGCAATTAGTCAGGCAGACGTGACAATTGAAAAAGCAGTGCGGAGTTAGGACGATTGAATTGCGTGGTAGGTTAGTCGTCCCGAAACAGACGGGGTGAGCGGGCTGGTTATAAGAAGCACCACCCAGGCGCGTCGGGGGTTTCAGTAGGCTACAGGATGGACAAGGCCAGTGTGACTGTCCTTTGAGACACTGCGGCCCATGTGCTAGCGAACCAGACAAAGAGGGTGTGCGGTTGGCGCGTGCCAGCAGGCTCTCATCCTCCCAGGCCAGGCATCATCCATAAGAGGAGCGCCCGTTGC